GGTGGGGGGGGACAGGGTGGCTGTGCATGACAGCAGGCTGCTGGGAGAGCTGGTGACAGTGACCAAGCTGCCGGGGCCCTGGGAGTCCAGTCTGATGCTCCCGGAGACCCAGGGGCGTGGGAGGCCTGGGCACGGCCCTCCGGGGACACCTGGTGGCCCCGCCACTGCCCGCGTGGTCAAGGTCACATGGCTGTCTCCTGGGTGTCTTCTCCCTTCTTGGAGGACCAGCCGTCCCCCTCCTCTGGTAGGACCTTGTCTCCACTGACCACACCCACAGTGACCCCGCTGTCAGAGAGGGTCACCCTCTGGGTCACTGGGCTTAAGCTTCAGCAGGTCCTTTTGGGTGACACAGTCCAGCCCACGACAGGGAGTGACCCCACTCTGGCCGCTGACCTTCCAAGTTGCTGGCTGCAGACCTCCGTCCAGTGCCCTGACTCGGGGGGCCCCAGGCCCTTCCCGAGTTGCGGAGCCTTGGCTTCTGGTGTGGCTCTGCGCGGGGAGGACCCAGGGCCTGGCTGCCTCGTGCCAGGCGAGCGCTGGCCACCGGTCCCCGGCGGGGCTCCCCCAGGGCCCACCCCCTCCCGTCTGCGGACTCCTCCTGCTCGGGTCCCGGTTCAGGGACCCCTTCCCCAAGAGCGACTCGGAGAAAGCCCAGCGCTGCCCGGGGCTTCAGGGCGGCCCGCGAGACCCTTGTCCTGCCTCCTTCCTCCTGGTGCAGGCAGTATGTCCGGGACACGGTCGTGGGCACCATGGGCCTCAAGGCCACCGGCCGGCTCTGCACCATGGCCAAGGCGAGAGGGCTGCGGGCCTGCAGGTGAGTGACCCTCCCCACCCCCAGCCCCGGGGGCCGGGCGCCGGCTGACCCTCCACTGCCCACAGGGGGGAGCTGAGAGACACCATCCTGGACTGGGAAGATGCTCTGCCCGACCGGGACCTGGCTCGAGCCGACGAGGCCAGCAGGTGGGACCCCTGTGCCCGGGTGGGGGTGGAGTGGGGCGGGCAGGGACTCCTGGGCAGCAGGGGGCCGGCCGGGGCTGGACTGAGCCTGTGCTCCTGGCCCCAGGACCGCCGACCTGTCCATCACCCTGGGCACCTCCCTGCAAATCCGGCCCAGTGGGAACCTGCCGCTGGCCACCAAGCGCCGGGGAGGCCGGCTGGTCATCGTGAACCTCCAGCCCACCAAGCACGTAGGTGCCGAGCCCACCCCTGCCCGGGCCCCGGGCCTCTGCCCCGCCTGACCCTGCTCGCCCTGCAGGACCGGCACGCTGACCTGCGCATCCACGGCTACGTAGACCAGGTCATGACCCGGCTCATGAAGCACCTGGGGCTGGAGATCCCCGCCTGGGACGGGCCCCGCGTGCTGGACAGGGCCCTGCCACCCCTGCCGCGCCCAGCGGCTCCCAAGCTGGAGCCCAAGGAGGAGCCCCCCAGCGGCCCCGGGCAGGAGGCCAGTGTGCAGCCCCGGGCCCGGCCCAATGGCTGCAAGCCCCCCAGCCCCAAGAGGGAGCCGCCAGACAGCCCTGCCCCCCGCCGGCCTCCCAAGAGGGTGAAGGTGGAGGCCGCACCCAGCTGACCAGGCGCTGGCCCGGGCTCCCACGGAAACCATGGACTCCTCTTCCTTACGGTCTCACTGTTACTTGTCCCTGTCCCCGGGGACCTCAGGGAGCTGAGAGCCGGACCCCAGGCCCAGGGCGGTGGGCCTCCACTGTCTGGTTGGCTCCTGGGCCCGCAGTGCCACCCAGGCCCGCCGCCCGCCACGGCCAGCCTCCGACTCAGGACTTGTGGGAGCGGGTGGAGGACGCCCTCCTCCCCAGTTCCCAGCCTAAAGGGGGAGCACCCTGGGCCCGGGCCCCTCTGGGGACTCCGCACACTCCCTCCCGGTCAGCTCTTGATCTGCCTCCCAAGGCCACCTTCAGGGACCCCCACGGGGAGCCGGACCCCCCCGCCGCTGAGGGCAGGGCTGCGGGGAGAGGGTCCTGGGCCTCCCCAAGTCCTCAACGCAATAAAGACAGACTCCTCGCAGCTGGGCGCCTTGCAGTCCCTTGGTGCAGCACCCTGGGGACAGGAGACGGCTTCGCCCCTCCCACCTGCCATCCTGCAGCCCCCGGCCCTGGTTACGCCCTCTGCCCCCAGTGGGGTGTCCCTGGAGGAGAGAGGCCCCCGCCCCGTGGGTCCTGGCCCCTGTGCAGCCGGTGGGGGTGGCGTTGGTCGGGTTGTCCCTGCCCCCCCCCACCTGTGACCTTGACCTGGTTTTCTCATCTTAAAACGAGGCCCCGTGTGGTGTGTGGTGCAGCCCCTCGCAGCAGGTCCCGGTCCCCAGGTCCCACTCCTGGGCTCCAGGGTCCCGCCGGCCCTTGCCCTTCTCCAAGGTGCTGAAGCTGCTGGGTTGGGGCCGCACTCCACCCCCAGAGCCCCTGAGCCCCCCAGCCGTGTCCTGTCAAAATACTTTATTGAGGGTCGGTCGCGCAGTCTTAGAAAAGGGGTGGTGGTGGGTGGCGGCCACTCAGAAGTCCAGGGTCCCTGAGGCTGGACAGCTTCCTCTGCCCAGTGAGCCAGGAGGCCAAGGGGCACCCAGGCACAGGTCGTGATCTGCGCTGTGTGGGGCTGAGCAGCGGCCGGCGGCCAGCCCTGGGCCTGGGGCGCTGCGGCCACACGTAGGCCAGCTCCTGTCTGTCCCCGCAGTGAGCTGTGGTGTCCACCAGGGCCTGCCGTCCACTTGGGCTCCCCCAGGTGGCCTGGGGTCTCACAGCTCCTCCCCGGCCGCCTCCAGCCCCGCACGTCCTGTGCTGAGCACCGGCTCTGGTGCCACCCAGTCCAGCAGGGTGGCCGGGCCCAGCTCCTCTGTCGAGTTGCCCAGAACCAGGGTCGAGTTGTCCAGCTCCTTTGCTGACCCGCCCAGTGCCAGCATGTCCAGGAAGCCCCAGTCCGTCCCAAGGCCGCCCGGGGGCCCTTTGTGGGGCACAGCAGCGTCCGGCCTGGGGCCTGGGGCCTTGGAGGCCAGATGGTCGTCCGGGGCCACCCGGGACGAGGCATCGTTGTGCAGCGTCCTGGAGAAGACTGGGCAGAGTTGGGGGGCTCAGGAGGGACGCCGTGGGGGCAGAGTCCTGTGGCCCTCTCCCCGGCCTCGGGACACTGGGGCACAGGTCTCCCAGGTCCAGGTGCACCGGGAAGAGGTGGGGGGCAGGCACTCACCTCGCACGGGCGCGAAGTCCCCTGGGCTCTCGGCCTTGTTGGTGGCGAAAGGGCTGATGGAGGGGAGGACGATGAGCGCGAAGGACAGCAGCAGGACCTGCCAGAGAGGGGCGGTCACCTGCGTCCCCTCCACAGGGAGGGAGGCCAGGCCGGACCCCAGCGCTGTGCTGGCCATCACTTCCTGCAGACCCCTCCCCGGGGACCTGCCTGCCCCACCCACGGGCAGGGGAGAGGACTCACCGCGGTGCAGGTGCCCGTGTGCACAGACTTGGTGGTGGACTGGACCACCATGGCCTGCAGCCTCTTGAGCTGCTCCAGCAGGGACCTCGGAGGGACAGGGGAGGCTGAGCCTGCGGGGCCTGGCCCTGCTCCTGCCCATTCCCCAGGCCCCGGCCTCCCTCAGGGTCCCACTGCTCCCGCCCGCCTCCATCATGTCTCACGAGAAGGCCACCCCACTCTTCTCGGCTCTCCTGCCCCTCTCCTGGGTTCAAGCTCAGACACAGCCAGGGGGTGCTTGGCCACTATGAAGCCAAAGCCCAAGTCCTTCCTGTGGCCCAGGGGGCCCTTCCCAGCCTGCCTCGCCTCCTTCCCCCACCTCCTCTGCCCCAGGGCCTTTGCACAGATGGCGCCCACCGAGCTGGGGCTCATTCCCTGCCCCGCGGCACCCTCCCCACTTCCTGTGCCCCCCCAACCCCGGACGTGGACTCACAGGTTCTGCTTCTCCAGCTGCAGGACTTTCCTCTGCAGCTCCTGGTTCTGGGCCGTGCAGGCCGACATCCTGAAGGAACAATGAGTGACCTGGTGACTTGCAGAATCTGTCACCAATTGTCCCCACTGATGTTTCCCTGGGAGGCCCCAAGCCAGAGAGCAAAGGCCTCCTGCCTCAGTCCCCTGGTAGCTGGGACCACAGCACACACCAGGGCACCTGTGCAGGGCCAGGGCGGGAGCCAGGTCTGTCGGTTACCGGGTCCCCGTGGGGTGGGACTTCCACCGCGGCCGAGCCCCAGGGCTGAGTGCCAGACTCAGTCAGAGTTGGAGACCCCAGCGGAAGCCCTGGCCCTCCGCGACCTGCAGCCCCCCCAGGCTGGGCAGCAGGCCGGTGCTGAGCACGAGGGCCCACCTTCCACCCAGCACCACGGGGGGAAGAGGGCAGAGGCAAGCCCCCATCTTGGCCTGGGTGCGGCTGGCACCCATGTTCCCCGTCAGCATCGGT